CGGGTGAATTTACTTATCTAGGCAGGTAAATTCAATTAGATTTATAAAACATATATTTGTTGTTTTGGGCAGTGGCTTCTTAAACCCCAGAGAATTACTTTAAAAATATAACATTGAAGATGCCATGCACACAGCTAACCTAAAATATATCAGTTCTGTCAACACGCTGGAGTCATGGTAGCTCAGACAAACACAGAATAGTGTTTTGGGACAACCTTTAAATGTTACCGGTTGCTGTACTGTGACCGCTACATGGTGCGGGGAAACCCCGACTTTCAGCGCACCACCATTGACTCATCGGGAGCTGAAAAGGTCAGAGGTCAGATCTTTTGTCACTAGCATCAAACAAACAGGCCAGGGGCCCAGTGAGTCACATCCTCGGGGACGCGCTGGGGTTGGCTTTGTGCTGTGTTTGGTAATTGTCTCTGTGTCACCTACCACCTTCAGGAGGCAACAACAGGCAGATAAGCAGATAGAGCGGCTATTGGATGCCGGGGCCCTGTTTCTGTGTGATACGCTTACACCTTCCCTGCTCCACGGCCCTGGGGGTGAATACCACAGGGAGTGATGTTTGCAGTGACTGTAAGTGGGAGCAGATCGTTTTTCAAACGTCGTCACCGGGGCCTAAAGCTTTAGTAGGTCAGCTCCCACAGGAAAAGCAAACGTGTGATCTTACCCACATAATCATAAGCCGCTGACACAAAGCTAGCATTCCACAGTAGCATTCCTGGACTCCTCTGAACAGACACTAACTGTCTGGCTGCTTCAGCGCAGCAACAGGTGGTGTGCTGTAATCCTCGGTATTGTATTGCAGTGGGCTGTCTTAGATTTCAATAAGTGAGCCATGGTTTGTGAAGAGTGAAGCGCCGAGTGGAGGTGTCAAGTGTTTAAAAAAGACAAACTCTAATGATGTCTTCATCGTCAGCTCCTCCACTTGAATTTTCGTGCAATTAGTCCAAATATTTTACACAACCTCTTTGGTTTCTTCAACGTTTCCAACAGATTTTATCCCTCTCCCACCAGTTTGTCTTTTCCCAGGCGCATCTCACTCAGTGTGTAAAAGGTCAGGCTGCACACTCCTGCCGGCGTCACATTAAAAGCTGGGAGAAAAATGACATTTATCAAACACCGTCCTCTCCTGTTCTCTGCTCCTCTCCCCATCACTCTGAGGTTATAGGCTAATATTCAGCATGTCACTCTACCCGAGATTTTCAGGCATCCACTCATATCCCATTTAATTATGAGCTCTCCCTTTGCGATATCATCCTCACACATCAATGAAAATCAAACACTCTGTCCTCATCCTGCTTGGCAAAATACAACTATCTGTGCTCCAAAATAACAAGGTCCTCTCTCTCTCTCTCTCCTCTCTCCTCTCTCTCTCTCCCCCCCCCCCCCACATTATGTAACATGCAGGCTTTGGTAGCTGTCATCGTCCAACCTCTAATCTCCGTCCGCCCATCATGGGAGCACACAAGGCTGAACGCACCTGTATGCTAATAGAGGGATGCTACAGGTCCGGGTGGGTGGCCTGGGTGGAGAGGAGGTGTGACGGTGGAGCGGGAGTGTCTATCCGTCTGCCTGTCTGCCTGTCTGCCTGTCTGCCTGTCTGCCTGTCTGCCTGTCTGACTGCCTGGCTTTGGCTGCTAAAAAAGGCCAGCATAAGGCTTGTTAATGCTCCCACGTACAGTATGTGGGTGTGAGGATTCTCTCGGTCTCTCTATTTTCAATGTTTCTATTGCCCTCACCTTTCCTTCCCACCTTCTCATTCTCTTTTTCTAAACCTACCTCCATCTCCTCGAGATCTATGCATATCAACTTCTTTGCTTAATCTCCCCTCTCCGTTTATTTTGTATGTTTCAAATCCTCTCGTCCACCTCCTCTGTTTTTTTTTTTTGGCTTCCGTATCTTCCTCATCTATTTCTCTGTGGTAGATTGGTGCATGATTAAATATCAACATGCGCTTGTGCTGGGTGTGTTTGTGTGAACACGGGTGTGGTGGCTGCGTAGGTAAAGGGAGAGCTTCTCTTTCTCACCACCGGCTGGCAGAGCGTTGGAGTTTCATCAGACGAGGACTCCTCTGGCTGCTTTGTGTGGGCAGCAATGGGGAAAACACTGAGGAGAATGAACTGGCTGAATCAAACACACACACACACAGATAGAACCATGCACACATCAACACACAGATACACACACACAACCAGAGACTAATTCTCCTTCCCCTGCCCTTACAGCATCTGGCTTCCACCCCCTCCATGCATCAGAGGGAAGGGAGGCCCAAACAGACACTGTGAACTGTTTATCATCTTTATTACTTTATTACTTTTCCGACAGTTTTCCCTAACCTGATTTTATTACATTGTCATCAGATGATGAGTTCTCTCATCTGCTCTCTTCGCTCTTTCTTCTTTGCTTTGCCACAAATGTTATCGACCTTGGTAACTGATGCATGAAAGCAGCAGTGGATGCAGAGTTTAGATTTGGTATCACTAATGTTTACATGGACTGCCCCCCCCCCCCCCCCCCCCCCCCCCCCCCCCCCCCCCCCCCCCCCCCCCCTTAGGGGAATTCATCCACAAAAAACACACTGGACGCTGCACTAGGTCAGAAACCAGAGGAGACTGTGAGGTCCACCATGTAGACAAAATGTCCTCTCCATTAACGGCAGCTCTTTGTGGAATAGCCTCCCAACTGAGATATGGGATTGTCCCACTCTCTAGTTTTAAAGGACCACTTAAAGAATGGTTGAGAAACAAACAGATGTGTAATCACAGCTAAATGCACTTTAACACAGGGGTATCTCCTCTTGCACTTTACAGTATGTAGCTCTTTTATCTTATCTTGCACTTTATATGTCGTAGCTGCTACATTGTACCGCCATGTGGTAAATGCTTGTATGCTGCTCATGCTCTTCCTGCATATCATGTATTTATTTTTGCTATGTATATAAATATCATGTTCTTGTATGTTGTATGTGACGGGACTACGGATGGAAATGAGCTCAAAGCTAAAATCCGGCTCATTTACACTTGTAAGCATTATTTTTGTTTTAAAGTGTTCATCAATGTGCACTGTCCCGGTTCAAATAAACGATTAAATGAAAAAATCATCACCTCACCACACAGTTACAGTCACTTTGTGCAACTCACCATCATCAAGTCCTGAGCTTCTGGTCTGTTTTTCCCCAGGTCTGCAAGCGCAGTGGCATCTTCCTTGCTGAAAAACTAAATGTAAACTCTGGTTGTGAGCGTGCATAAAAACAACACCGCTGTGCAGTGCCACACACCGTCAACAGTGATTAGATTTGAGAGTGTCTACGTATCTGACTGTATGAATAAACAACATTACACATTATCCAGCTGTGCCCTATACTTCAGGCTTATTTGGATTTTGGGAAGGAGCCTCTGCTCCAGATCATCCATAATATATGACAGCATTTTGCCATCAGTCTAATGGGGGTAAACAGAGGGATTTGCCAGAGGCTCAATGGGAAACGCCTGGGAGATAAAGCAATCCAGTAAAGACCAAAAACCTACTGTGTGTACCTGAGTTATGTTTGTTTTCATATCTATCTATCTATCTGTCTGTCTGTCTGTCTGTCTGTCTGTCTGTCTGTCTGTCTGTCTGTCTGTCTGTCTGTCTGTCTGTCTGTCTGTCTGTCTGTCTGTCTGTCTGTCTGTCTGTATATATATATATTATTTTAAATGGTTACCAAAGTGCATTATGAAATCAGTAGGCCTATCTTGAGTCTAAATCAAAGGATATTTGAAGAACAGGGGTCTTACCTGCGCCACCCTCTCAAATGCATCAGCAGCATCTCTTTTCTCTCTCCTTTTCCTTCTCTCTCAGGCCACCTCAGAGTGTCCTGCTCCCGATGTTTCACAATTCACAATGAGGTTGCTCGCATATAGATCCAGTCAGCAGCAAGGGAAACACATTGATTTCCCGTCTGCATCCACCGAGGAGTGCTGGCGCGCCATCCGAAGTTGGAGCAGCCGGGGGGAACATCGGTATCCCGCAGGCGTCCAGCAGCTGTGCGCAGCGTTGTTAATGCGGCCCATTAGGCCGCTGAGTGGCAGAGAGATTTCCCGAATATTGAGCCGGGGACACCCCTCAATTAGACGGATCGCCCGGCACCTCGTCAGCATCCGCGGCTATCTGTTCTCATTAATCAATGACACAGCCGAGAGAGATGGAAAGTTAATTTAGAGGAAGTTTGCAATAGCCTACAGGCCAGCAGAGTTTGCAGAGGATAGACCTATATTTTTAGGCTCACAGCATTAAACATGTAGCCTAGCTACTCACTTATAGGCTATCACATGCCAAATTAAATGTAACATGTCGGCTAATCATTAATAATCAATAGGACTAAGGACCTATAAATGCATGGCAATAGCTTCCAACCATAACGCTGTGTAAAAAACATTTCCTAGGCTAAAAGGAAATGGTAAAAGTCACTTTTCATCTAATTTAACTTGATCGAACACGTGTTGCCTATTACGATATATTATATATGCATTAGGTACATACATTTGTGATTAAAACGTTTCTCGATCTTATTTATCGCACAATTAAGAAAGCAGCATTTCACTTTCCAAAATTTACAAAAAACACGTGGAGCAGTCCTTCGGTTGCACAAAGACTTTCCAATACAGTCTAATAGTTCAGCTGAAGCTGTGCTTTAACCCAGGGAAGCAGGATTCTGCTGCTGACATTAGTTATTGTGAGCGCTGGACATGATTTGCACTCCAGCCTCTCATTCACTGCCAAGCAGCGATCAGCGCTGCCTCAGGAAGTTCCAAATAAGGACAGGGAAATGGAAACCCACCGGAATAGGTCCTTATGTAGTCACGACCTTATAAGGCACGGCGGAGCCGGGCTTTCCGGCAGAAGCGCAGCCTGCTGCACAGATGGGAAATCCAAATCAAATCTATGGGGCGACGGGGAGAGGGCAAGAATTATGCCGCTGTCGGGCGGAGCTGTTCTGCCATGAAGATACATTAATTCGGGACAGAGGAAGAGCGGCGTTGTCTTCGCAATTTACTGCGAGAGCTTAATATAAAGTCTCTCCACTCTGCTTTCCCTCAGGCCAGCGTCATGTGTCCTCCACTGCAGTGCCTAAATATGGGCTTCCTCCTCTCCAAATATGGACATCTACGTCACAGCAAGAGGGTATAAAAGGAGCGGGGAAGCCTCTCAGCTCAGAGAGAGCCCTGAGAGCCCACAAGAGCAACTGTTAGAGCAGAGATAGATAGACAAATACATAGAACTCCCTTACTGAGAAATATCACAACAAAAGTGAAAGTCAATTCAAAACATATCCATCCAAGAGGGTCAAAACCTGATTGGATCAGCCATTTGATACATAGATACAAAATCAAGATTGATCTGTTGATTCATTTCAATGGATCTAGGGAATGAGTATAAAGGACACTTTTGATTTTTTCTGAAAGACAAGTGGATTTTTACTCATCTCTGAGAGAAAACAACAGGACAACTGGAGGACAAGAGTCACGGAGCAAGAAAGAGAAAAGCATCTTCCTCCTCACCAGCAGAAGTGTACAGCTGGGTTAAGTGATTCCCTCCACCTGCGAGGCACCGCTCTGCCAGCGTGCATCCAGCCTCCTGCACTCATCACCAGCCACCAGCGCAGCTCCAGCACCAGCAGAGGATGGCTTCAGCCAAGACCGAGATGATCCTCCCGACCCTGCATATCTCAGAGCCTCTGAGCTTCCCCCACTCCCCCATGGATAACTATCCCAAGCTGGAGGAAGTGATGATGCTCAGCACTGCAGGGACCCCCTTGTTCGCCACCTCCGCAACTGAAGGTGCAGGCTTTGGCTCCGGGGAGCCAGGGGATCAGTACGACCACCTTGCTGGAGGTAAGATCTGGAGATTTGCCTCTTTTGCCTCTGGTTTTCTGTAATGCATGCACAACTGAACTGAAGATTACAGAACATCTGCTGGGCTATACTCTACCAAGATAAGAGAAATAAACAGCTGCATGACTTTAATTATATTTTCATAATTATCATTATAGCTTTAATTAGAATTATTACGATTTGTTTATTTATGTATCATAGAAAATAGCTGATAAAGATTTTAAGTTACAAGTCTGGACATATTTATTTGTTTCATCATAACTTATGTTCATACATTTTATACTTGAAATGCAGACTAAATTGGATGTTAAACTGACTGGGCATAATATTAATATAATACAAACCCACAAATAACAAAAAGAAGGAAATTAAAAACATCTTACTTAATATACATTTATTGATTGCTTTAAATCCTTTCTAACTCTCAGAGGACTCAACACTGCTCAGTCACCGCATGCCTCACACTCCTACAGCTCAATTCAAATTGCATTCCTAAAACCAGCTGAACTGCAGTTTCAGTAATCAATTCCCTCGAGCTCTGTGATGGGCTTCAAGAATGTGTGCATGCAAGACAGGAAGACATAAAGAATGAAAGAAAGATTGAGAGAATGTGAGCAGAGGAAAATGCTATCATAAGCTTGCACAGCAGCTATTGTTGAGATTTGAAAGGTATGGTTTTAGAGTTTGGGGTGAATAGTTTAGTTGTAGGGGTTTTCTATGCGTGGGCTACTGACTGATCTGTCTCAGAAGAGAAGGGTGACACACTGTCCAGCGAGGACCCCTCCTCTCCCTGCCTCTGGATATTGACAGTTTGATTAATATCCTCTCTTTCTCTGTGCTCCCTGCAGATACGTTACCTGATATCCCCTTCGGTTGTGACAAGTCCGTGGGAGAGCAGACTTACCAGAGGCTTCCCCCCATCTCTTACACAGGCCGCTTCACCCTGGAGCCCGCCACCTCCTGCAGCAACAGCCTCTGGGCGGAGCCCATCTTTGGCCTGATCACTGGTCTGATGGGCAATATTGCCCCCAGCTCTTCCTCCGCTCTTTCACAGACCACCTTGTCCTCGTCTTTATCAATCCAGTCCACCACTCCTTCCTCTTCTACCTCTTCCTTATCTCAGAGCCTCAGTTCCTCCATTCACCACAACGAGCCCAACCCCATCTACTCAGCCGCCCCAACCTACTCCAGCCAAAACTCTGACATCTTCCCGGACCAGGGCCAGATCTTTGCCAGTGTGACTGGAGCAGTGCAGTACCCTCCTCCTGCCTACCCCAATGGCAAAACCTGCAACACTAACTTCCCTGTGCCCATGATTCCTGACTACCTCTTCCCTCAGCAGCAGGGAGAGATCAGCCTGGTGCCCCCTGACCAAAAGCCCTTCCAGAGTCAGTCAAGCCAGCCCTCCCTCACTCCTTTGTCCACAATCAAGGCCTTCGCCACCCAGACTGGTTCCCAGGACTTAAAGAGTATCTACCAGTCTCAGATGATCAAGCCCAGTCGCATGCGCAAATACCCCACAAGGCCAAGCAAGACACCCCCCCACGAGAGGCCCTACGCTTGCCCAGTGGAGACCTGCGATCGTCGCTTCTCCCGCTCTGATGAGCTGACACGTCACATCCGCATCCACACAGGCCAGAAACCCTTCCAGTGCCGCATCTGCATGCGCAACTTCAGCCGCAGCGACCACCTCACAACACACATCCGCACTCACACCGGTGAGAAGCCCTTTGCCTGCGAGATCTGCGGGCGCAAGTTTGCCCGCAGCGACGAGAGGAAGAGGCACACAAAAATCCACCTAAGGCAGAAGGACAAGAAAGCGGAGAAGGCAGGAGCGGTGGCGGGGACAGCAGCACCTGTATCAGCTGCTTCACCTGCCTCCAGCTACCCTTCTCCCATCACCTCCTACCCCTCTCCAGTGTCTTCTTACCCCTCTCCCGTCACCTCCTGCTACTCCTCTCCTGTCCACAACTCCTATCCATCTCCTTCCATCGCCACCACCTACCCTTCGGTGTCAATGTCCAATTCCTTCCAGTCCCAGTTAGCCTCCTCCTTCCCTTCCTCCAACATCTACAGCTCCCCCATTCCCACCCCACTATCAGACATGCAGAGCACTCTCTCTCCAAGAACAATCGAGATCTGCTAAGAAAGACTTGTGATAAAAACCTTTTATAGTCTCTGTGCACCTCTCCTTCCTTACGGTTATTTGAGGGGAAAGAAATCAGCATCAAAAGACTTTGTTTTCCCCTCCAAAAAGCACTTTTCTGTCTGCTCCCTGTGCAGTGTTAGGTGAATCTTGAGATTTACCTGAAACAGAGAAAAAGACACATGTCAAGGACTTAGCAAAGACAATAGAAGATGAAAACGGAATTCTTTTTGTTTCTGTAAAACGAATGCAGCACTTCAAATGCATAAGGGACTCACCCGAGAGAGCATAGAAACCGGCACTGACGGGTCTCTACCATAAGGTACACAAAATCCAAGAGACTAACAGATTGCCAGCAGTTGTGGCACGGTCGCCTTGCAGGCACTCATACAGTGCAAAAGACATTGAATGATATACATAAGCTACCACATATGTATATTGTACATGTGCCATGTTCCATTTTTTATCATTCTTCGGTACCATTGATGTGAAATATTATTTGCATATTTGCATTGTATTATTTGAAGTGAGCAGGGCCATATTTTCTACATACTTTCTCTATTATGTAGTGATGATGCTGTGATTCGTTTTGACATTGTTTGAAAAAAAAGCACTTAAGTATTCGAGCATGAGTAAGAGTGATGTTAGTTTCTGTTTGTAAATATCATTCACTGGTACTATATTTTTCTCTCTTTCTCCCATGTGACATATCGCTTGGTTGTATGGAAAAATAGAGAAAAGAAAAAAATACATTTAAAATGACAACTAAACAAGACAAACGCTCCCGTAATTTGGTGCCTTTTTGTGAAGCCTTGCTGATGTTGTGACTCGGCTGTGCGCGAGAGAGGATGCACTGCATCTCGCCTTAAGGGTTGAGGGAATATTTTTGTTACAGAATGTAAGTCATATCCGAGGGAGGAAAAGGGACGAGCTATGAGGGCACCGCTTCATTTCATTAGAATGTAAGCAAAAAAGGAGAAAAACTATAGAGTATATTTTTGTAAAACTTAAGTGTAAATATCCACATCTTCAAGAGCTGGAATGTTGAAGTTACCTACTGAGTAGGCATGGGATTATTTTGTATGTCATATACATGCAGTTCATTATTTTGTGGTTATCTTTATTTTGTATTTGTGTTTGTTAAAACAAGTGACTGTTTCTGGCTTCTAAACACATTGAATGCGCTTAACTGCCAATGGGATATTTGGTGTACAAGATATCCTCCCAGAAATGAAATATAAATAAAAATATAAATATATATGTATATTTGTTCTCATAATTTTTTCTCGGACTTCCGTGCTTTCAAATATTACACTAGTACTTCATACTATTGCAATTACACCACACCCTTAATTTCATCATGTACATCTCTCATACATGACAGCTATATTCCATCATCCTATATGTTAATCCTGAGCAGATTATTAGCAGATTGTTCCCACAACTCCACATCCCAGAGAGCCACCCTTTCATTTGAGCAAAATCTGCACAGCATGATTTTATGGAATCTACGTTTTAATCGCTGTTCTCCAATTGAACCCTGTATTCATGATAATACTAACGCATGACTCCCATGCTGAGGAATTATTATCTAGATTCAACATGCTCTTGAAGATATTAAGCTTATCTAAATTTACATTTCATATAAGATTGTGCGATACACAGTGGCATTACTGTTGAGAACACAGACTTCCAGCAGAACATATTTTTTTCCTCCATGCTGTTAGAAAAAAGGAAAGGTATATTTAAACCCGACTGTGCTTAGACATGCAAAGGGGTTATTTTCACAGAGTGCAGGCGAAATCCATCACATGATAATTACCTTCTTTTCTGCAAATGTGCTTGGCGAGATGCTGTCACCCTGTAGCGAATGAGCTGTTACACACAATTGGGCAATATCCGTGTAGGTTAGGCTGGATTTTTGCATGGGTGCAGCTGAGCAGCCCTGAAGGTTTAACCACTGTTTCTTTTGGTTTTCCAAGCGGAATATAATAACAGCCCCTTCATGCCATCATTATTCGTCTGCCCCTCTTCCCTGGCCAACAACATTCTTGCTACATGTTTGAGAATGAAAATAAAACAGCTTGTTTTGTTTAGCCTATGTAGACAAGAACCCTGCTAAAATGTTTTCTCTTGGAGCTTTGGAGTAATATGGTGTTGTGAAATGCACTAACCAAAAGACTCACAAATGCAAACACAGCTAAAATAGAAAGCAGGAAAACAAGAAGAAGAGAGTGACGGGAGAGAAAGGAAAATAATTAAGATAATTGGTCTCCTGATCCCAAAATGACTTTCTAAATTGGGACTGATGAGGTGTGCGTGTGTGTGTGCGTGCGTGCGTGTGCGTGTGTGCGTGTGTGCGTGTGTGTGTGTGCGCGTGCATGTGTGTATGTGTGTGTTTGTGTGTATGTGCACATGTAAGCAGGCATTTGTGTGCCATATACAGAGTAGCTGTCTATAGCCTATGCAGTTGTTTCCCGCTGTGTGTCTGCCTGACTGCTGCCGTGAGTCCCCCATGAAACAGATCTACCTGGACCCCACGCTCTCATCTGCTGACACAGTTTACAGGTGTGTGTGTGTGTGTGTGTGTGTGTGTGTGTGTGTGTGTGGTGTGTGTGTGTGTGTGTGTGTGTGTGTGTGTGTGTGTGTGTGTGTGTGTGTGTGTTCTAGTATAACAATTCAGCAACAGGCTGCAACAGAAGGTAACATAGGTCTTTTTGGATAAAATATGCATCACTGCTACAATTCTATTAATCCAACTAAAATGGAAAGAGTCTGTCTGTCTTTCTGTATGTCTGTCCTTTGATTTTCTCGCCTTACCTTACACGTTAGACGGATATACTACAGAGAAAAATCAAGTTAAATCTTAGTTTTTAGGTTGACTTTTAAAATCTGTCCAGGGACTACAGAGAAAAAATAGCCTCTTGGCTAACTCTGGCACATTTACAGAAATGTTCATTAATGTGCACTGTCCCTGTTAAATAAATGAATAAATAAAATAAAATAAAGTTAAATCATCATGAATTTAAGAATATATTTAATTCCAATATAGAACCACATCCAGCTTTTTTTGGCAAATCAAGACTACTTGTGTGCCTTAAATCCTGAAATCTGGCATTTCCTGTCATTGTTTACAGCATATTTTAGTCCCTGGCTGCAAATCAGGAGCCGTTTCATTGCCACGCTTTTAGAAAACTCTTTTTGCTCAATATAAAAACCACAGGCTGTGTTTCTCTCAGCCTCTTTTGACATGTTAAGAGACAACCATTATTGTCACAGTCCATAACCAGGATGCTAGAAAGAAAGACAACCACTATCCCTCAAAGTACAAGGGAATTGTGTAGCCCATAATATCCTCTTGCTCTGATTCAAGGCTCTTCCTCGCATTTCAAAGCTCACGCGCTGAGTCTGTTCTGTTTAGGGAGGTGCGAGAGGAGCGCAAGAGGAGTTGGGAGTGCTGTTGCGTCGTGGCTTCACACTGTTGTAACCCACAATGGAGCCACCTCACGCCCCCAACAGGCTTCCACTTCAAGAGCCCTGCCTTTGTTCAAAAATGTATTTGTTCTCTTATTCTTATTCTTTTTGGGAACTGTGTAAAACAAAAAAGGACGAATGGCAAACCATTCTTTCTCCCTCAGCCCTCAAATCCCACCCCATTACCACCTCTCTCTCTCTCTCTCTCTCTCTCTCTCTCTCTCTCTCTCTCTCTCTCTCTCTCTCTCTCTCTGTCTGTCTGTCTGTCTCTACCTTGCTCTCCTTCTCTGGTAGAGCATATTTAGCTGGAGATGCTAATGATCTCCCCCATCTGTATTCTGATGCAAGGTCTGTCTACACTTTTCCCTTTCATCCACATACAAATGTGCTCTTATTGCCTCTTCGCCCTCGGGCCTTTTAATATGCCTTTTTGAAATATGCCGTTTGATAAGCACATCATTGGCCAAGTCCCCGCAGTGATTAGAGATCTCTTTAATGTGAGCAAGTTAGAGAGTGAATGAGGGGCTCCGGGGCCGGCAGCTATCTCTTCTCCTCTGCCCTCACCCCTTGACATGTCCCGGGCCACTGGGGAGAGACCAGTGTCGGGAAGGACGACCCAGAGCCCGATTGCGGACCAAGTCATTCTTCATGCTTTATCTCCACATGGAGATGAAGAACGGGAGGAAACACACTGGAGAATCTCCTTCATAGGGATACGGTGCTGTATGCTGGAAGCCTGTACTTTATCACAGGGATGTGACAGGAGGACTTCTCTCTAATGTCTTTTAAATATGCTCCATTGATCTAATGTTCAGAGCCTTGCTTTGCCACTTTCTTTTTTCAATCTTGCCAATAGGGAACACTGATACAGCCGTCAGGTGTTTTTTCCTACTTTGCGCCTTGCACTTGACACCTGTTGAGCCTTTAGGGATAAGTAGGTTATATTTAAACTGCTTGATTTCCAGACTCCTCAGATACATTTCAGGTAGATTGCAGCATTTATATACAGTACATAGCGTTCAGGAGACGTGCTTAGCATAACACAATTTGAAAGAAACACATCAGTCAGAAAGTGTAAGTACGACAAATCCGGACAAAATTCAGACCAACCTGAAACAACACACGCTCAGAGACACAAGCACATAAAAGATGTTCAAGATGTCACACATTTGCTCTCCTTTTCTGGGTTAAGATGTGTGAAAGTTGTGCATGCTTATCAGCTGTTACCTGTTCAAAACCCAACAGATGTAAGAGAAGCACAACTCACAAGCATCTTTGAAATTATTTGTGGCACACAAAAGAGATTTTTGACGCATCACTTCCACAATAATCTACAGGTGTCCTGGCAACTTTAGCTTGACTTAATAAGCCATGCTTGTTTGAAGTATGGCTTTGAACAGACAACAAAACAGTGCATGCTTAAGTACCTCCAAATATGACACCTCTTCAACTCAGCATCAAGCACACTACAGCTTCACAAAAGGCACCTGGGTGGCTCTGAAATGCAAACAGGCCCTCATAAGTCTTTTAAGGCTAGTAAGTGGGCTCGAGTTGTTTTATTTTCTGTCTGCGATTCTGACTAACATATACTATCCCTGAGCAGGGTCTCTGACTCTGAGTAAATAAATGCAGTCATGCCTCTCAGAGACTTGTCTGTTTTTATCAGAGAGATGCATGTTCTGCAGCAGATGGCCTGCTACTGCAAAGAAGAGGCTTCTGTTGGAACCGTGCAAAAACATCAATTCATAAATAACAATCATCCAAACAAAACAATGATGAATACATCATCATAAATATGAATAAATATGAGTATATTGGCTCTTAACAGGAACAATACTGGTCCCGTAATGCTCGTCCTGCTTGTTTTTCATAAAACTGCCTGATTCTATGATTCATTTTAATCCACATGTAGCAGTAGAGATGCCTTTCAGGTTCACTGGTCTCGCTAGAATTGGAGTTCAAGAGTTCAGAACAACCACCCGGTTGTCACAACAGCCCAGATTAGAGGTGAGAGCTACAGCGCTGAGTGTGTGTGTGTGTGTGTGTGTGTGTGTGTGTGTGTGTGTGTGTGTGTGTGTGTGTGTGTGTGTGTGTGTGTGTGTGTGTGTGTGTGTGTGTGTGTGTGGGGGGGGGGGGTATGTGTGTGTGTGTGTGTGTGTATCTGTAGGCTTTCTGATTGAATAAAACTCAATTCACATTCATATATAGTTTGGCTTTTATTTACATGTTTCTGGACTTTCGCATTTGCATATTTTCAAGAGGAGCACTTTGTGGTTGTAGCAGTGGTTTGCAGTTGTTTGTGGGGGGGTCGGGGGGAACATTGTGAAAAAATCTCACAAATCTGAAAGAAATGCTATTTTCTATGAGATTAAAGTCAACACTCTGTCCGAAAAAACTCTCAACAATTCAAAGATGCCTTGCCAATGTTTTTCCGTAAATTATAATTAATTAACAGAGTATTTTGATTTGTTTCCTGCAATATGGCTTATGAGAAAAGAATGTTATCTTCCTGGCCCCAATATGGCATCAATATTAAAGGCCTTTAAAAGATATAGAAAAAAACTAATCACCCCTCGTGAGCAGATCAGGGCTTCCTGTGTTTCACTCTGATACATCAAAAGCTGAGAGAGAGAGGGGCAGAGAGCTAATAGAAAATCTGTCTCCCCCCACCCTCCAGGTGTGCCCTGCACCTGTCATTCAAAAGGCTGAGGCCAGGTGTCTAATCAGACACCACAGCCACCTGTTCTTCACTTATTAGGTCCTACCTGTGGAATGAGTCAATGATAAATA